GAGGAACCCCACAGTCAGTGCCCATTTCTGGGAACAAGCATTATAGCCACGAGTGACCTCTTGGCTGTTATCAGACTATCCCGATAAGATCAGGAGTTTCATGTGCTGGTAATAATCAGTGACAGAGGTCATGTATTAGTGGGCAGGACTACAAGAATTTAGTGGCTGCTGGCACAAAGAGATATGCTGCACTTCTGTATAGAAAAAAAATCTAAGCAGAAGGCATAGTTATACAGATTGTTCATTTAACTCAGAATGGTCTGAAAGTACCAGATATAGTTCCATGGAATCTAAATTTAACTCTCCACGGAGTCTAAATTTAACTCAAACTTAGGTAGGAAAGTGTGTGTGACAGCTCTGAACTTGATTAAGGCTGGAATACAGATGTCATATTAAAAATCAGCATGGATTAACAACCTGATCGTTCACTGTCAGTCTTAAACAGCTGACCACGCTAGAATTTCAGCTATGCAAAGTTTAGTTGCCTTTCCATAACGCTTAATGCATTTTGATGTGTTCTGAACTTCAGACATTGGCTTGTGGTAAAGGAAGATGGACATAAAGTGACTGCTCGGGAAGAGCCATCCAGTGAAGAATTGCAGGTGAATAAAATAATTCCTTCTGTCAACCTCTTGCCCATTTTTCATAATCAAACTGTAAAATCCCTTAGAGTCAAATTGCATCTGTTGAAGTTATGTCACTAAATCATATAAAAGCATTTCAAATGTGTTTGTACATTTTCAATTAAGTTAATCCCTTTTGTTAACAAGAACTATCACATTTTTCTTCTGCTCACTCCTACTCCTGAAGAGTCTTTAGAGAACTCAAAAGCTTGCTTGCTATTTAGTGATATTTTAGGCAGTCCTAAATCAAAAAGATTTAATGCTACTGTTGTTTTAAGCCCCTTTGGAAAGAGTAGTACTTAAATAGTTTTAGTGACTTGTAGTATCTCTGAAACTCTGGTCTGTTTAGTCCATACTATAATTTATGTGAAGCAGGGGTCATTTCCTGCAGGAGCGCACAGGAGCGGAGCTCCGGCAGTAAAGAGCCCAGGGGGCGGGCAGATGCAACAAGCCCCACCCTCTGCTCCCAGCAGCCCTCAGTCAGAGCAAGAAGCAGCCAGGTGTTGCAGAGCCCCCCCCCGGTCCAAAACAGTCCAGTGGCACCTTTAAGACCAAATTTTATTCAGGTACAAGCTCTCCCTCCTCTGTGAGGGCAGATCTGCGCATTCCCCCCCCCCCCCCGGAGGCCACCAGCTAGCAATCCAAAACAGTCCAGTGTAGCCTGAGCGGTGGGTGTTGCCTTCTGACACACTTCTGGTGATGTCAGGGGGTGTGGCATATGCACATAAACTATGCTAATGAATTATGCTAATGAGTTCCTGCACCTCTTTTTCTACGAAATGACCCCTGATGTGAAGGATCTACGATTCGATCTCTTGACAAATTCTCTACGTGTTAAAGTGACCTGGCAGTGTACACATGTGGACAGGTGAAGCTGCCTTATACTGAATCAGATTCTTGGTCCCTCAAAGTCAGTCCTGTCTACTCAGACTGGCAGCAGCTCCGCGGGGTCTCAGGCTGAGGTCTCTCACATCACCTCCTGCCTGGTCCTTTTACCTGGAGATGCCAGGGATTGAACTTGGGATCCTCTGCATGCCTAGCAGATGCTTTACCACTGAGCCACAGCCCCTCCTCAGTGGCATGTTAGAGATGAGTAGTGGTGCTGAGGTGGGATTAATGTCTTCCCATATATATCATGTTGGAAGAAGACCTGATCATGTCATGTGTCTCTTCAAAGGTTGCTTCTGCTCTGGGATGGTTCCCTGTTTTGCTGTAATTGCTGCTGCAAGCGCAATGAAGTGGGAACGGAACCTTTGCACGTGGATTTGCTCAGTGCTTTCCCCTTGTGTTCCCCCAGCAGAGTGGGCTTTTGTCAGGTTTTTTTTTTAAGTAGTTTGCCACTTTAAAAAAGTAGTAGGCATATTGCTGTAGTGTTAGGATGCTACAGCAATAGACTCCCAATATTTTTTTAAATAGCAAAAAAGCCTGCCTGTGATGGAGGAAGAGAATGTCAGGCAAGAAGGGAAATGTCCCTGGATATGGATGGGGACCTGTGGAAACCCTAACGCCTTCCCATCTCCACCAGAACCAAACCAAGTTTGCATATCCCCTGCGTAGTCCTTGGCTCATTCTTGCTTAGTCACTATATATCCTATGAGCCTATTAATCGGTGTATGGGTTTATCGTACAAATAAGAGTAAATTTTCAGAAAAGAATAAAATGTTGCTGCTGTTCAGAAAACGTGTGTTTATACTCTAAATTATTAACTGAGAATTATTTTGTCCTGGATAGCAGAGAATATACTGATATCCCTCACAATCATTCAGGGTGTTTGGCTTTGACATCCAAGGCAGAGACTGTGGTGAAGAGGCAGCTCAATGGATCACAGCCTTTCTGAATTCGCATCCATATCGCCTTGTTCATTTTGAATTAAGCATGGTTCCAAGGAATGCAAAGGATCTTATGGAGCCTTTTCGACCCAGTGATAAGGTGAGGTAATGCATTTGTATTCGTTTTTACCATGTGTCTTACAGTACAGCCCTATGTGCTGTTTTTCTAGTCTAAATGCAGTGTAATAAATAAAATCAGTGGGCTTGACATGAGAGTAACTCTGCATAGGGTTGTCTGTAAGCGCTCTAGACACCTGCAAGAAGAGTATAAATAAGTCAGGAAACAATCCTGGAGTTTTTTTGTCATCTTATGGGCATGGAACAGCGGTCACTGCAGGGGTGGAGAGGGAGGTATTCAGGGGTCATTTCCTGCAGGAGCGCACAGGAACGGAGCTCCGGCAGTAAAGAGCCCAGGGGGCAGGCACACGCAACAAGCCCCACCCCCTGCTCCCAGCAGCCCTCCGTAAGAGCAAGAAGCAGCCAGGTAAGTTGCAGACCTCCCCCCGCCCCCCCGGTCGAAAACAGTCCAGTGGCACCTTTAAGACCAAGTTTTATTCAGGTACAAGCTCTCCCCCCTCTGCAAGGACAGATCTGCACGTTCCCCCCCCCCAATAGCTAGCAATCCAAAACAGTCCAGTGTAGCCTGAGCGGTAGGTGTTGCCTTCTGACACACTTCCGATGATTTCAGGGGGTGCGGCTTATGCAAATAAGTTATGCTAATGAGCTATGCTAATGAGCTCCTGCACCTCTTTTTCTACGAAATGACCCCTGGAGGTATTTGTGAATTTCCTGCATTGTGCAGGGGGTTGGACTAGATGACTCTGGAGGCCCCTTCCAACTCTATGATTCTATGATTCTAAGTGTTGAGAAACAGAAGATGTTTGCAAGTATCTAACTAGTTAAACATTGGAAACTAACTAGAATTTGTAGTTTCAGAATACTCCCAAGGCTGGAACCAATTTTTCTCCCATTGTGTTAATGGGCTATGACTCCTGATGCAAGAAGGTTCTGATTTACCTTAGTGAGGTATCTCGTGGGTCCCTCATTGTAAACCACCTCTTTTGTTTTTTCTTCCACTGCCATAGTACAGCTGTTCTTTCTTGATGTTCATTTCAAAGTAGGTAGAAATTCAGTGACACACGTTGAATGGCTGTTGTGGTGAGGGATGCTTGGTAAGTGCCACAAGTTACCACCTTTTCTGTCACAGGTAAATATATATTCTTGGGAACTGTTTTCCCAGACAGGAACTCTGTTTTATAAACTCAGCCCTTTGCAGCTCAACCTTTGTAGTAATTTCCTCAAGTAACTGTTGGCCAGGACATTTTATACAAAACCTAGACAGAGATGCAACACAGTATGGTAGAATATCATTATTTCTGACCTTTCCAGAAATTTTCCTTTTTGTTGTGTGACCTGTTGGGTCACATATTTTATCACATTTTTATTAAAGTGCCTTTGGACAACCAGAAGCTACATACAAATGCTTTGAGAGCTGCACTCAATTTGTGGGCGAGCAGTTCACTATGCCAATTTAGAAGTGTTGTCTTGGGATGCTGTTAATGGCATTTCCTCTTTAAATGTTTCCCTGCAGATTGCCTACCCTGACTGTAGTCCAGTTATGGTACTCTCTGAAGCATCCGTGGAAGAGCTAAATTCCCAGCTGGAGAAGAAAGTTCAAATACGTAACTTCAGGCCAAATATTGTGGTCACCGGCTGTGGTCCTCATGAGGAGGTAATAGTTATAAACTAATAAAGAATTGCCTTGGCACTTTGTGTTAATATTTAATGAAAATGACATGTTTATAGATAAATATTAACCAGCCATTTACACAGCCTCTTGAGGGAATAAATGTTTGGATTTTTCAGTGAAATGGTGACAATGGGCAGGGGGTACACCTTCAGATAAAATTGGATGCACAGCTGAAAGAATTCCCTCTTGAGTAGCATACATCCACGAATTCTTTTTCTTTGAGCTGTTCTACTAATAACTTCACCTTTACAGGGATTATAAAGTGAGGAGAAAAGTTCTTAATGAAATGCATGTATAAACCTGGGCTGCTTCCACATGGCCACAGTTCTCCATGTAGCTCTTGTTGCTGCTGTAAAAGCTGAGGCCCTTGAAGTGGCCGTGGAACAGTCACGTGGGAGTTTTTGCCATGCTCTCCTTGCCTCAGCCCTCTGTGGCTGTCAATCTTCCTCCCCTTCCCACCACAAGAGGGCTTTAAAAAAGTCTGCAATACTGATAGTAAAGGTAAAGGTTCCCTTGCTCGAAAGCCAGTCGAATCCGACTCTAGGGTTGCGGTGCTCATCTCTGTTTCAAAGCCGAAGAGCCAGCGCTGTCCGAAGACGTTTCCGTGGCCATGTGGCCGGCATGACTAAACACCAAGGCTCACGGAACGCTGTTACCTTCCCACCGAAGTGGTACCTTTTTATCTACTTGAAATTTCTTGCTTTCGAACTGCTAGGTTGGCAGGAGCTGGAACTAGAGACGGGAGCTCACTCCATCATGTGGCAACCCGGGTCTCGAACTGTTGAACTACTGACCTTCCACAGCCTACAGTTCAGCATCTTAACCACTTGAGCCACCGCAGCTCCTAGCATATATTGATACATAGCTATAGTAATGTGTTGCTACAATGTACTAGTTCCTGGCTTGCATATTTATTTTTTTAAAAGTGTCTCTAGCCATTTTGGTTGTGGGGTTGCAAGGAGAAATGTGCAACCAGTGTTCTTCCCCTTATAATTCTGCAACTAAAAGGGCTAGAGCCTTACTTAAAGAAGGGAAAAAGGCAGCTGGGAAGGAGTACATTGTGGCAGCAATACGGGTATTGAACAAGCTCAGGAAAGGAAAATGGCAGTGCTGTGGGCAGGACATGAGAGCATGTATACCTTTCTATCCACACAGCATCCAAGGCCCCTTGACTGCAATCCTTCTAAAAATACTGTATCAAACCAGGGTTGGGGGGAGATTTCTGCAGATAGTGGGAAAAACACTGAAGGCAGGATGAATAGAGGATGATGTCATGTGGATACTCCTGAAACCAGTACTTCTGTAAGGAAGAGCAAAACGTCAGTGTGTAAAGAGTCCTGTTCAACAGAAGCTTAAACCTTTTATTATTCAGTGTAAAGGTCTGAGGTTGGATTAATTTTTTACCTGGAACATTCAATGGCTTCCAGGCAATTAAATCAAGCCATTGTTTAATCAAAAGTTAACTCCAGTCAAGTCAATAAATTACTTGGTTGCTACACATCGAAACAGGATGGGGTTCATGTTTTCTTTAAATTTTTTTAAATAAAAAAAAAATTGCCTGGTAGCATATTTGCACTAAATCTGACTTGAAATGTTTGTGTAAAGTTTACTACTTTTGATGGATGCTAGGGAGTTGCCAAGCAACAGGGGATCTTCGATTCAGAAATGGCCTACTTTTGAAGCTGTACATCGTTGGAAATAAAGCTAATTTCAGCCTTCAGTGTTCGTCTTGTAGTAGAGAAGTGCCAGGCCTCATATGTACAACAGGGACTATTTGGATATGTTCCTGATGCAGATATAATTACCAGCCTAGTTGAATTTTATCTTCTTTATTTGCTTTGTTTATAATGGGTGGTATCCAGTGAACACAACAGGTTTATAAGGTGGCTTTCTTCCCTCCCTACAAAAGTTGATCCAGAGGGTCAGATACACTTGAGAGGTAATTGGGTTACATACAGGGGACTGTAACAAAAAGAAGACATTTGCAGAAATCACCTCCCCATTGAGAAAACTATTCTGCGAGAGGGGAAGGGGGATTTAAGCTGATTTTTGTTGCAACCCCCGTGCCAGATTCACGGGTCCCTTGACCCTCAGAAGCAACTTTTGAAGGGGACACCTGAGGATGTGGGGGAAGGGAGATCAGTTTCACAAACTCATTCTCTTTTTTGTATTGGAATGAACATTATATAGCGACTCATACTAATGTGTTTCTCCAAATCTGAAAATATCTTTACTAATAGTAATGTCTTAATGCTGGAGCCATTTTTTAAATTAATGTTCTTTCACCTGTTTTTTCCTAGCATCTTTAAGAGCACTTAAAATGGCGATGGAGGAAATCTCTTCTCTGTATTACCACAGTGAATATGAATATGCTCAGTGCCATTCTGAGGTGAAACACAGTATAAATGAACTGATGTTATGAATGTTGTATTTCCTTAGGATACCTGGAACGAGATAGTGATTGGAAGTGTAGAAATGAAAGGTGTAATGGCCTGCCCACGGTAAGCATTTTGGATAGTATTTGGAAGCAGAAGTGTGAGGCTGCTTTTCTCTCACACTGCTTTGTCATTGTAGGTGTATTTTTACAACTATTGATCCAGATACTGGAATCATGGACAGGAAAGAGCCTCTTGACACCCTGAAAAGGTGAAGTATTTTTGGTCCTTCTCTCCATTCTCTGTGGGAAGATCAGTCGTTACAGTTTGCAGGATTTTCTTACTTTTTAAAAGCATGTACCAAAATTTTTAGAATGTGGGCTGGAGCATAGTAACTGCTTTTCCAGCCACCATGCAAAGCTGTACATCTAGATCACAAAATCTCCTTACACTTCCCGGCCTCAAAGATATCAGGCTGGCCACAACCAGGGCCAGAGCTTTCTCGGCAACAGCATCGCTCTAGTGGAATGAGCTCCTGGAGGACATCAGGGCCCTGCAGGATCTACCGCAACTCCACAGGGCCTGCAAGACGGAGCTCTTCCACCAAGTGTTTGAGCAAATGGGCGAACATCAACTGAGCAAGCTAGGCCCTTAAATCCACCCTGGCCGCCTGTCTTAATATCCTTGCTTATAAGGAGGAATAATGTACACAGGAACCAATTACCAGCCGTACAGCTAGCGCTGACTCTGCGGCGGTTGATTAGAACAGTTCTGGCCATCCTACCATACATAGCACCTTATATTTTTGATACTACTGTGTTTTTATTATTATTATCTTAATTTTTATTGCCAAATGGCCTTGTAAGCCTGCTTTGGCGGGGAGGGCAGGGTATAAATCAAATAAATTAATTAATAAACAAATAAATACATATGTTGGTGTGGATGTTTGGCATCTTGGTCACTATCACCACTTGATGTAGTTTCCTTAGCTGCTAATTAGGATGGTCACTCAAATACTTTTGCCTGTCTCTCTCACTGCAGTACTTCACTTTATTGTCCTAATTGAACTCTGTTCCCAAACACACTGTTTGCATGTAAGTCCTGTAGATCTTCAAGTATAGGTGCTTTAATTTGGCAGTGGCTTTGATTTTTCTTAGAGGATAGTCCTCGGTTATCTAATGCAAACTTATTGAGTGCTACCTTTTGTCATAAGCTTCAACAGGGTAGGGGGGGGAAGGCTGAGGGGAGGATACTGAAAGCACTCAGACTTCAGATTTGGGATAATTTTGATTTTTGGACATGTGCATGAATATTTCAGGATTCTGTGATCCTTCTGCATAGTACTGGTGTTTAACATGCCAGAAGATAGAGTCACCCAGTCACTGTGAAAATCATCTGTTATAGATGACTCATTCCTCATAAGGAGAAGCTGCAGATAATTCACCCCAGGATAGACTAACTTCCACTAGGAAGTAATGCCCTAAAGAGGTGCATTGTTTCTATTATGAGAATGAAATATCTCCCTCTTGCATGAGGAGCTCTGTTGACAGAAGAGGAAGAAAGGAGTGATTTCTCCTTGTCTCCACTGAAGCCTTCTGACCTGTGTAGTTCCATGTGGGTTCCACATAGATCAGAAGAAACTTTCCCAGCATCAGAAATGGATGTGTTGGGGCTGGGCAGGCTGAGAATACCAGGGAACCTTGCATGGACCTTGCACAGTCCTTGCTGTGTCTGGATTCAACCCTCTTGTGTTCCGTTCAGCTTCTCACAACAGCACTTAACTGTCTTGTAGATGACTTATTCTGATCTCATCTTGTCTGCAGCTACCGCCAGTGTGATCCTTCTGAGCAGCATATATACAGATCACACCCACTCTTTGGGTGGTACTTTGGAATTGCTAAAACAGGAATGCTTCAGGTTGGAGACCCAGTGTACAAGATAATTGGGTAATACAGATGCAAGCCAAATGGAAACTCTTCTTTTGTACCTTTAAGTGCCTTTTTTGTGGAAAAAAATTATTTAGCACTCTTTTGTAATTAGAAAAATTAATGTAATACTTTTATGAAATATTGGTGTACATAGAACTTTCTAAAATGGGCTTGCGTTGGAAAAAGTTGTAATAAACAGACCCTTTTGTATTTTGCGTATACATAATTAGCTCTGAACCTTTTCAGAATTCAACTTTTTAATCATTGTTATGTGGATTAATGGAAATCTACTAGGGGGTTGAAGAAAGGAGTCACATCACTCGGGATTTCTTTTCATCTTCATTTTTGCACAGCCTGGTTCTAAACAGACTACTTGGAAATAAATTCAGGTGGGTATCCATGTTGGTCTGAAGCAGTAAAACAAAGTTTGAATCCAGCAGAACCTTTAAGACCAACAAAGTTTTATTCTGGTTATAACTTTGTTGGTCTTAAAGGTGCCACTGGACTCAAACTTTGTTGTGCTTGGAAAAACGTCTCCCTGATGCCAGTGGGTCGTGGTTCATATAATGTCATTTATCCGGGGGGTGATTTTGTAGAAAAAGAGGTGCAGGAGCTCATTAGTATAACTTATTTGCATATGCCACACCCCCTGGTATCACCAAAAGTGTGTCAGAAGGCAACACCCACCGCTCAGGCTACACTGGACTGTTTTGAATTGCTAGCTATTGGGGGGGGGACATGCAGATCTGTCCTCGCAGAGGAGGGAGAGCTTGTACCTGAATAAAACTTGGTCTTAACGGTGCTACTGGACTGCAACTTGCCTTTAATATTTTTCTTCCATTCCATTCATGTTGTAGCCTCTTTTGTTATGTCTCATGCCAGAATTCAAAAAGATAGTCAGTTTAAATAGATATAGGTCAAATTTCCCTTAATATGAAGAGATGGATAAAGCTGAGCCTGAAAGCTGCAATATATGTGACTGTTGAGGAAAAACGTGGACATATTTTAAAAAAATCACTGAATTGTAACCATTCTCAGCAGCCTACCTCAGTCTATATTATTTGAATGTTCTTTTATACAAATCCATCTTTGGATGTGGTGATTGAATTAAAGCAACTAATAGAGATTCACTATAAGTAATAAATAGTTATCGTCATCTAAAATTATAAAACTGGGTAGTAAGTTTTAAGGATTCTATGTAGCAGTGAACTGTTTGTTTCTTCTGGATTAAACTAAAGCAGTGAACACTAAAGGTCACTAAAGCAGGCAACAGAAAAGTGTCTGTGTGTGGAGAAGTGATCAGATGCACTTACTTCTGTGGTGATAGCTGCAGAGCTGAAAGAGAGACAATTCAGAAGAGCACAGGAGCCTACCACTGAGAATTAATGGTCTCTACCACCGCAGTAATAAGAGTGAGCTGTTACCTTACCTGAGGGACTGCCTTTCCTCACATGCTCCCTAGAGAGTACTGAGATCGGGGTTGCAAAATCATTTGGCCCTCCCTGGACCCAAAGATGCCAGGCTGGTCTCTACCAGGGCCAGGGCCTTCTCAGTAGCGGCTCCGTAGTGGTGGAATGAGCTCCCGGAAGACATCATGGTCCTGTGGGCCCTCTTACAGTTCCACAGAGCCTGCAAAACGGAGCTCTTCCACCAAGCCTTCGACTAGGAGCCGCTTCCAACAACCAAACTGTGGTAAGTCCCTCTATACTATCACCAGTAGCCTGGGACAGCTTCTATTAACTGTCTGATAAACTGGTTACCAACTCTGGCTATACTCTTTTGTGAACATTCCACCATGGCCTACTAGGAGTACTACGCAATATCATACCGCCACTAGCACTTTATTCTGTTATGTCTATGATTTTTATGATGTCTATAATTTGTCTTTTATGCATTTTAACCTTTCATTGTAAGCCGCCTTGAGCCTGCCTGGTGGGGAGAGCGGGATATAAATGGAATTAAATAAATAAGGAATGCAGTGAAGTCCAATCAGCTTCCATATGCAAAAGACCTTGAAGGTTCCATATGCAACTGACATTCCAACTGCCTTGCGGGGAGGGGGGTGAGTTTGAGGTGTGGAATGCAGTGAAGTCCAATCAGCTTCCATATGCAAAAGACCTTGAAACGCTAGGCGGGACTGCACAAAGCAGCCAGTCAACCCAGCCAGCGTCTTCTGACTGACAGTTCAAGCGTCCATACACTAAAGGGGCCAAATTTAGAATGTTCATATAGAATGTTCTTACTCAATTATATACAAGGAGAGATACACTGGAATAAATGTTATTACTGTTAAGAAACTATTGACTTTAATGATAATATCAGCATACTATAATAGTAGTTGCTGTAGATTACTACTAAACACTAGAATACCTACATTGATACGAATATTCTAATGACCATATATACTGTGCAATATGTTATTCATGAATGGGGGGGGCAAGAATACAAAAAAGAAGAGGATGGTTTATAATTACTGGTCCAAGCAGGTTCTAAGCAGAGATCCAGATTCCTCAGGTGGAGGTTCCAAACACTGGGTCAGTCAATCCTAAAGCATAAATCAAATGAGACGGTAAAATTCATGCAACTTCACAGGGACCAGATCAGGAGTCTGTGCCGCCAGGGGCTGATACTGTGACACAAGCAGTCATCCAAACAGAATAAGAACATAAGAGAAGCCAATGTTGGATCAGACTAACGGCCCATTCAGTCCAGCACTCTGTCACACAGTGACCAAAAATACCAGGTGATATCAGGAGGTCCAGCAGTGGGGCCAGGACACTAGAAGCCCTCACACTATTGACCCTCCCCCAGCACCAAAAATACAGAGCATCACTTGCCCCAGACTGAGAGTTCCTATCTATACCTTGTGGCTAATAGCTACCGATGGACCTCTGCTCCATATGCTTATCTAATTCCCCCTTGAAGCTGTCCATGCTTGTAGCTGCCGCCACCTCCTGTGGCAGTGAATTCCATGTGTTAATCACTCTTTGGGTGAAGAATCCATCTTGAGTCTTAGCAAGGATGGGCAGACTTCAAGTGACATTGACGTGTAAATTAAATATTCGCTTTAAAAGCCCCTGATCCACCAAAAGCCTTCAACTGCAGGGGACACGTTTACGAAAACGCTGTTTATAAAACCCAGCTAAGAATGAATTGTAGCAGCATTTCCAGAGGACAACGGGGCAATTTCAGAAGAAAACAGTTTCACCCGAGTCTTCGGCCCAATCTGCATCTAGCGTTTGCTCCGCAGTTTTACCAAACCCACGCTGGAACAGAAAAAGATGCGGCTCAAAACCACATTCAAATACCCCGGGCCAACACTGTACTGACTGCAGAGTCACCCCATAAACCAGCCATAAAACGATGCAGACAGTTCTACAAAACCTGAGAGATCGAAGGAAGTGGAAGCGGCATGCAGTCTGGACACTGCCATAAATCCGACAATCAAAGAAAGTGAAAGGGGCATGGAACGCAGAGGGGAATCTCTGTTCCAATGTGGGTTTGGTAAAACAGCGGACCAAATGCTAGATGCAGATTGGGCCTTCCTCACCCCCGAGGTAAGCAAGTTCTGAGGCCGATGAGGAGGGATCTACCGGCCCTGCAACCGTGTGCCACGGTTTTGGGGACAGCGAGATCCGAGCCCAGTAGTCCCTTAAAGCTTTCCAGAATAGAAGCTCTCGAGAATCAAAGCTCACTTCATCAGATAGTAGCTTTGACTCTCGAACCCTTAAGCCCTGGGAGAGCCAGTTTGGTGTCGTGGTTAAGCGCGCTTATTAATTAGCCAGTTTTTGATCCACAAAAGGAGTTGTCCTTTTATCCCATGATTTTTTAGCTTACTTAGGAGCCTTTGATGAGGAACTTTATCAAAAGCTTTCTGGAAGTCAAGGTAAACAACATCTATTGGGTCTCCCATGTCCACATGTTTGTTCACCCCCTCAATGAACACTAACAGGTTAGTGAGACAAGATCATCCCTTACATAACCCATGCTGAGTCTGCCTCAATAGTTTTTGTTCATCAATGTACTTACTAATTCTTTCCTTAATAACAGTTTCCACCAATTTACCCGGTATCAACGTCAGACTGGCTGGCCTGTAATTTCCCGGATCGCCTCTGGAACCCTTTTTAAAGATGAGAGTGACATTAGCCACCTTCCAGTCTTCAGGAATGGAGGCAGATTTTAAGGAAAGATTACATATTTTTGTCAGGAGATCCACAAGTTCACATCTGAGTTCTTTCAGAACTCTCGGATGTATGCCATCCGGGCCTGGTGATTTATCATTTTTTAAGTTATCTATCAGTCGTAGGACCTCCTCTCTTGTCACCTCAATTTGACTCAGGTCTTTCAACACCCCTCCCGACGTCAGCGGTTTTGAAGTGGGCAAGCACCTCTCATTTTAACTGTAAACAGTGTTAAGGGAGAGGACCTTAAGGAGAAGGTTGCCTGAAGAACATAACTGGTGCAGGGGACTTTACTGGGTGATGTGGTTCACTAACTATGAGGGCCCTAGGTGTATTCATATTTAGAAAGGAAACTCCTACAAGAGAAAAATCCAGGCCAGAGAAAAATGATTCCCATAGCTTATACAAAGAAACTATGCCAGACAAAAGAGTAATCCATAAGTACTGGAGGTTCACAACTGAGAAGACACTCCACCCTTAACAGCAGTGTTCAGGCTCCTGGAAAATGATATTTAGCATATGGAAGTATTTTTGGCAGAAAGAAGGAAAAGGGGGGAAACTAAACAGAATTTTCTGGTAATATTGTTAAGGAGAGGGTTCTGCACCTGAGTGAAAGTGTGATTGAAAGAAGGGAGGGATGGGTAAGATCAACAATTTAAAAAACACATTCCAAAGTAAATTCCTGATGTTGCTTGCAACATCATAAAAGAAACACAACTAATGCACATTGAAGTAGGGTTGCCACGTAACCCCGTGGCAGGGGATGGATCAATATGGTTGCCAGATCCAGGTTGGGAAACTCCTTTGGGGATGGAGTCTGGGGAGGAGAGGGATCTCAGTGGGGTACAATGCCACAGAGTCCACCCTCCAAAGCATCCATCTTCTCCAAGGGAACAGATCTCTGTAATCTGGAGATGAGCTGTAATTCTGGGACAATGGTTTGGACTGTACATTTTATTACTATGGAAAAAATAACTGTCAAAGAGAAATAATATTTACAGAAACTTTGTATGGTTTATGTACAGTTGAATCCCAAGGTTTGAGCATGAAGTAAGTAATAGAGGAAAACAATAGAATGGGAAGGACTAGAGATCTCTTCAAGAAAATTGGCGAAATCAAGGGAGCGTTCCATGCCAAGCTGGCCATGATAAAGGATAAAAATGGTAGGGATCTAACAGAAGCAGTCTGCACTCCATTTGCCAGCAAATTTGGAAAACGCAACAGTGGCCACAGGATTGGAAAAGGTCAGTATACATTCCAATCCCAAAGAAGGGCAATGCCAAGGAATGTTCAAACTATCGCACAATTGCACTCATATCACACGCTAGCAAGGTCATGCTCAAGATCCTACAAGCTAGGCTTCAACAGTACGTGGATAGAGAACTACCAGAAGTACAAGCTGGGTTTCGAAGAGGTAGAGGAACTAGAGATCAAATTGCCAACATTCGCTGGATTATGGAGAAAGCAAGAGAGTACCAGAAAAATATCTACTTCTGCTTCATTGACTATGCTAAAGCTTTTGACTGTGTGGATCACAACAAACTATGGCAGGTCCTTAAAGAGATGGGAGTACCAGACCACCTCACATGTCTCTTGAGAAACCTGTATAAGGGCCAAGAAGCGACAGTTAGAACCGGATATGGAACAACTGATTGGTTCAGCATAGGAAAAGGAGTACGACAAGGATGTATACTGTCACCTTGCTTATTTAATATATATGCAGAGTACATCATGCGAAATGCTGGCCTGGATGAATCACAAGCGGGAATTAAGATTGCTGGGGAAAAGATCAACAACCTCAGATATGCAGACGATACCACTCTGATGGCAGAAAGTGAAGAGGACCTCAAGAGCCTCTTGCTCAGGGTAAAAGAGGAGAGCGCAAAAGTGGGCTTGAAGCTCAACATCAAAAAAACTAAGATCATGGCATCCGGCCCCATCACTCCTTGGCAAATAGAAGGGGAAGTCGTGGAAGTGGTGACAGACTTCACGTTCCTGGGATCCCAGATCACCGCAGACTGTGACTGCAGCCATGAAATTAAAAGACGCCTGCTCCTTGGGAGGAAAGCGATGGCGAACCTAAACAGCATGATAAAAAGTAGAGACATCACCCTGCCAACAAAAGTCCGCATGGTCAAAGCAATGGTATTCCCAGTAGTCATGTATGGCTGTGAGAGTTGGACTATAAGGAAGGCCGAGCGCCGAAGAATAGATTCTTTTGAACTATGGTGCTGGAGGAGACTCTTGAGAGTCCCTTGGACTGCAAGAAGAACAAATCAGTCAATCCTCAAAGAAATCAACCCTGACTGTTCCCTGGAAGGCCAGATAATGAAACTGAAGCTCAAATACTTTGGCCACCAAATGAGAAGGGAGCACTCACTGGAGAAGACCCTGATGCTGGGAAAGATTGAAGGTCAAAGAAGACGGGGACGGCAAAGGATGAGATGGTTAGACAGTGTCATAGATGCAACGAACATGAAGTTGAGCAAACTTCAGAGGACGGCGGAAGACCGGAAGGCCTGGCGTGATCTGGTCCATGGGCTCGCGAAGAGTCGGACTCGACTGTGCGACTGAACAACAAAAACCATTGTAATTCAGCTACCCTTATTCTTTGTGTTTGTTTTTTGAGTTGCTGAGAAAGCTCTTGAGATTTATATAACACTGCTGTGAAGAATGTCACTGTAGCTTTTTTGGGGGGGTGGGGGAGAACATGAAAGTCAAGAAGATGGTTAATCAATCCGTGAAGATTTTCTGAGTATATCTAAAATGGTAGCTTGAAAAAGGGATTGATTTTAATGGAATGAAAGCTATATGAGAATATCAAGGCATGTTTTTAACCATAGCCCACGTATTCTGAACTAGCTAGACAATAACCCTAGAAACTTTACTAAGGCGAACAAGCACAACTGGTTTATCACTTTTTGTCTGCTTTAAGTCAATACAATTAATTCTAACACCACATTGTTGCATCTCCACCCCGGAACTTATATTGCTCAAAACAAAAAGCCAATAGGTTTGAGTGTAAGGGATCTTATATTGTGAAGCTATGAGCAATGGTTTAATGTCAGCACTACATTTGGGCAACCAGCTTGGGCTAGCCATACAATTATTGAACCACGCATGGAAGGATGGAGAAGATGGTGTGGTGGGGTGGGTAATGATACCTGAATTCCAGTGTATTTACCTATGCCATTTTGAGCAGGGACCTCTTCACCTACTGCCCTATCTGAGAATTTGTATTCAGTGCTGTGACTCTTCCTTAGAACATCTTTGGACTTTTCTGGAGTTGGCAGGGACTGAACCTGGGACCTTCTGCATGCCAAGCAGATGCTCTACAAGCCACTCCCCTATCTTGCACCAGTGCAGCATTGGGACCCAGCTTGGTATTATGTAAAAAACATGACCCAGCAGCCCCTGTCACACAATAAGGGAAGACATATGGCCAACACTGTAGTGCATTTGGCCACTGCCTCAGAGGGCATTTTAAAATAACAGTTATGAATTCAAATGGCCATCCAGTTGGGTTGCCAAATCCTGGAGATCTGGGAGGTGGAGCCTAAGGAGGGTGGGGTTTGGGGAGGGATTTCAGTGGGGCATAATGCTGTAGAGTCCACCTTCCAAAGCAGCCATTTTCTCCAGGTGAACTGATCCCTGTTGCCTGGAGATCAGTTGTGATAGCGGGAGATCTCCAGCCACCACCTGGAGGCTGGCAACCCTATCACCCAGGCTTTCCTGTTGCACATTCAGTGGACACAAATTGGACACAGATTGTATATCACTTTCTTATGGAGTGGCGTCTAGCCCACTATTATGGAAACGTCGCATTATTATTGCAGCCTTACAAACAGAAAAGCACTCCACTGTAATCACTCCACTTTCCAATAGATAGGTCAGATGGACTCACATTCTAGCTGTATCTGAAGTGAGCAGTGATCCTTGAGAGCTCACGGCCTGCCACAGAGTTTGTTAGTCTTTAAGGTGCGACTGGACTCTTCCTCTTTTCTACTGCTACAAACAAACATGGCTGTCCATCTTGATCTAAACAGAAAAACTGAAGCCCAATAAGATGGGACGGAGCAGTTGCATCCCACCTCCAGCCCCAGTAGGGATGCCAGCCTCCAGGCGGGACCCTCCAGGCGGGACCTGGGGATCCCCTGGAATTACAGCTCATCTCCAGACTATGGAGAGTAGTTCCTGTGGAGAAAATGGGTGCTTTGGAGGGTGGACTCTATGGCATTGTACCCCACTGAGGTGCCTGTCCTCCCCAGTCTCCATCCCTAAATCTCTAAGGCTTCCCCAGCCTGGATCTGGCAACCCTACCCCCCACATCCTCCTCCAGTGGCCAGGATGGACCTGGCAACACCCCCAAATCTCCATGTATTTCCAGACCTGGAGATGGCAACCCTAACCCCCAGGCCCTATTCCATTATCATATTATTATGACTAAGATGGAGACATGAAAAATCCATGGCAATTCTGGATATGAGCTCTCTGAATCTAACACTTCATGCACCTGACAAAGTGGGCTGTGGCTCAGGAAAGCTCCGTATCCCCCCCCCCCCCCGGTTCTCGTTTCTGTTTCACGGGGAGGGGTTGTGTTATTTTGGGAGTGCGTCTGAGAGGCGGTGTGTGGGTGTGGGGGGGGTGTGCCCAGCCTGTGCTTGGAGCCAAGGAAAGGAAGAGCAACGGTAGCGTCCTGGGGATGTTCCTGTGGTGTCTCGGGGCCAGAGGGGGACTGCACTCAAAGAGGCCTCTCTCCCCCTCCCCGCCAGGCTGTAAAAGTGTCGGAGAGAGGGAGGGAGGTCGGTGGCCGGGAGGAGCTCCCTCCCTCTGGGGGCGCTGGCCAAAGGGCGATCTCTGCCCGCAGGGTGCTTGCGCTTCTGACCATGGCTGGGTCCGCTGGCGTTTCCCCACGTGCGCTGCCTCTCTTGCGCCAGGCGCCGTTCGCCTGGCTTTGCGCCCTCGCTGCTGTCGGTGCGGTGGCCTTGGGGGCGGCCGCGGCCTGGCGTCGAAGGCGGGCTCGTGGAGAGCTGGTGCGGGTGGGGTCGGTGTCGGAGCTCTTCATCTACCCGGTCAAGTCCTGCCGGGGGGTGTCTGTGCAGCGGGCCGAAGTGACCCGGATGGGCCTCCGCAAAGGAGACCTTCGCGACAGGTAGGGGATACGGCAGGGAATGGCTGGTCAAAGAGAGCCAGATGATGGTCAGACTATAAGATCACGGCTGGTGCAAACGCTTAAGACTTGCTTGAGGAGCCGGCTACCCCGGTTACCGCTATTTCAGTTTCTAAGAGTGTGAACTCTCAAACTCACTCCCTACTTCTGTTTATTTTTGGGATTGAGAAGAGACTGTTCCCCTCGCCGTCAATAACGATCTCAGCCCCTGTCATCAAACTGAGCTCTGGCTGTCCAAAGATATGCATGAAACAAAATCCATGTAATAACTTCTGTGCATGCCATATTTATGACCCCCCCCCAACCCTGTTGATCCACTGGTAAATCAATCCTTAATTTTTGGTCAGGCAAGTTTACTTTTACAATCTCAAAACACAAGGCAAACTTCAGTGCTGCAGTATCTGAATGTTTTATTCTTCTGTAGCACACTCTCTGAAACGAGAAGGCCTTCAAGGCTTTCCCAATAAATCAGAGGCCGTTTACACCCTTCGGAGTCAGCCATGCTGCACGTCCCACCACCCACTTGACCCAACCTGCTCATCCTATTTCACATTACCACTAACTCAGCTTACGGTTTTTCAAGATCACTGCCAGTCATATGTCATGCTTAAGTGATCCTTGGTGGGTGCAGGTGGGGATCCTTCTTCAGCAGACTATCTGTAAGTGTCACCTAAGTGCATAAGAAGTTGCTTAAGGAAGCAATCATTTGTTTAAGGGAGGTCTTCGTTATAAGCAGAAAACAGCTTCTGAAATTAAAATTAACAGTTCTTATTCATCTTGCATGTTTCTGACACCAGTAATAGACTTGCTGACTTTACAGAAACGTCTCCTGCCTATGAGGAAGTCACAGGTTCTTCATTCATTTCCTCAGTGCCCTGCCTGGCGCATGGGACACTGGCAGAAGCCCAGGATTTCTTCCCAGGTGATTTGAGGCCATCTGGTTACACAAACAAACCCAATCACGTTGGGGTACCCACTGGTTTTCCTCACAGGTCCATGGTTAATTAGGATTAAAGGAGCACAAAAGTGGATGCGTGTCTATTAAGGGAGCAAAGGACACTGTCAGAAAGTGGGGTCAATCTCTGTTCAGCCATGAAGTGCATTGGGTGGGGCAGTCTTCTGCTGGGCACTGTCTTTTCCTATGTATGAAAGGGAAGGAAGCACAGATGCATAGACTGGGACACATTAAACTGGCCCAGGAGTAAGCCAAGTGACCCCGTGGTGCTGGCTGGATCTGGACTGTGGTGACCATGATGATGGGTGTAGGCTCCTCTGTCGCCTCCTCTTTTGCCACTGCCAGCTAGTCTGAGTCAGTTGGGCACTCACACAAGGGAAGGGGATGGGCAAGTCTACCACTGTCGCTACCGGTGGGATTCAAGCTAAGCAACCCTTGCGGTGCTACCAGCATTTTGGGGCTCAATTCCTAGTTCCTAGCAGCTCTCCAGGCAGCCTTCCCAGTAAGTTAAATGGTCAGCCTTCCCTAATGGGTAGGTGGAAGAGGAGGGCAAGAAATGTGGCTAAAAGAACTACAGAATGGGCTGTAATCAAAGTGAAAAGGGGAACAGGAAGATGGAAGGAGAAGCAGCATGGTACAGATATGAGGAAGGAGAGAGGGAGGGAATGAGAGGGCACTGCGATGGGCAGTGTGGTAAAGAAGAGGTGTGCAAGGGCAATGGAGGAAGAGAGGATGGAGGCTTCCAAGAGGCTTTGAGAGCCAGCGTGGTGTGGTGGTTAAGAGCGATGGACTTTAATCTGGAGAACTGGGTTTGATTCCCCATTCCTTTACATGAAGCCTGCTGGGTGACCTTGGGCCAGTCACAGTTCTCTCAGCCTCACCTACCTCACAAAGTGCCTGTTGTGGGGAGAGGACGGGAAGGTGATTGTAAGCAGCTTTGAGACTCCTTAGAGTAGAGAAAAGCAGGGTATAAAACCCAACTTTTCTTGACTTCCGGTGGATGGCTGCATGCTAAGCAATCATACCTCCAGGACCTCCTGGGGGTGAAACTGCACGCAGGCGGAAAGGAGGGGGGACGATGTATCGCACTTCCCCCAGGAGACTGGCGAAAGCCTCCTGGCCGAGGGACTTCTGAGAGGTTGCCCCTTCCCCAGCACGATGCTGGGGAATCGAGGCGCTTCTCCGTCCCCATGGTCCCTCCGTCTGTGTCCGTTTGGAATTAGTGAAGCTGGCCGGGACAAGTGCAGGAGATCGAGCGATGGAAAACGGAAGTAAAAGAGGTCGGATGGCCGATAATGAACATGAGTCAGATGGAAGCGATTTGATAAACTAAAAAGAAAGCTCCCCCCCAAACCCCACGGGCTAGAGGGCAAAGCGAGCGGGGGAGGGCCCCCTGCCAGGCGCACAAACTCTAAGCGAGATGGGGGGGGGAGCAGAAACAAAGCAGTTAAAAAAGTGCTGGAAAGACTTACCAAGGCACGCATGAGTGGTGGAGGGCAAATTCAGAGACTTTTAAAAGTTGGGCGAAAGTAAACAATCGAAAAAGATGGCAGGGAAGAGGATGGAGAAGGAGAAGCTTTTAAAAATGAAAGGAGCTGAGTGTCCATGACCGGAAAGAACCACCGAGATGGCAGAGTCCCTGCGCCCCCTGCTGGAGCAGATGACTAATCTTCAAGAGCAGCTGTCAAAAATGAATCCATGCATATCTACCCAGCAGACACAAATCAACGATACACTTAAAATCCTGGACCAAACAACAGAGAAAGTGAAAGAGGTTGATGCCACCACACGAAAGGTGAAGAAAAAGGTGTATAAATTGGAAAAGAAGCAAAACTCAACAGAAGAACAGCTTTTACAAATACAAATGGAAAAAGCGAATCTGGTTCTTCACTTCCAGGATGTCCCAGAGAGCAAAGGAGAGAATCTGAAGCATATGATGAGCGAAGCATTGGCCCCAGTGAAAGATTTAAAGGCGGACTATCTTATGAGCGAAATGGATGTGGTCTACAGGTCCT